AAGGATATAAGTGCATTCTACTGTCATGTATAACTAATTAAAACAAATAAAAAATTAAAAAAAAAAAAGAAAATGAAAGAAATGATTCACTTTTGCGTGTGGCAGTGAATTTTTCAGGAATTAACAATCCTTAAGAGTTCTATGTCAATTCCCACTTATTGGTTATGGTACCACAGAAAATTAGTTGCCATTTCTGTGCCTCAATTTCCTCATCTATAAAATAGGGATGATATAATGATATTTATTTCATAAGAGTATTGTGATGATTAAATGAGATCTTGCATGTAAGACATTTAGCACAGGGCTTAACATATACAGTTGATCAAGTAATGATCAAGTTTTGGCTATTCCTATTACTTTGTGTATGGCTCCAATATTTTTGGCTCCAATATGGTGACACACTTGAGGCCTAGGAGCACATACAGAAGGGTGTGTTCAAATGTGAACATTAACCTCCTTGGGCTCACTCATCCAGTTATTTATTAATTAATTCATTCAACATATACTTATGTACAGTATAAAATATATAAAAGTATATTGATTGCCTAAGATGCCCTTGGTGTTATTTTGCATGTGGGAATTAATTAGTGAAATGACATAGGAGGTGTCTACCACATAGGTTCACACTCCAATGAGAGAAGTTAGAATCAGGCAAGAGGGACAAACTGGAATGCTCTGAAATACTCCAACATTTGGTGGGCAAGTGGGTAAGGAGAATCTAGAAAAAAAATTAAAGGCCTGAATATAGAATAAATAGCTTCCATGAAAGTCAAAGGAAAAATGAGGGGAAAAAAAGTCAAAAATATGTATATTTTGGAGAATTCAAATGAGAATACAGAAATAATCCATAGGTTTGATATCAAGAAATTCATGAGTGATCCTGAGGAGAGCAGAATGTAATGAGTTTAGAAATGGAGAGATGAATGTGAGGATATGAAAGGACTATGAAAACCTCTTTCCAGAATCTTGGTTCAGAATGGAAAGGTACAGGTTAAGGGAAGGATCTAGGCAAAGAAAGACTATAAAGATACATGAAAAGGAAAGTAGATCAGACAGGAAGTAGTAACACAGATAGAGAGATTAGTTTGGGACAGATAGAGAGATTAGTTTGGGACAGAAAGAAGCTCCAAGATAGAGACAAGAATGATTTTGAAGGTGGAGAAATCAGAAGTTGTTTGGAGAGTTGAAGCCTGTAGCTTTTTTTATTTTCTCAGCAGAACTGGAGATAAAGTTATCTACTAAGAGGTTAAGGGTTGGTTTTGTGCTTGATTAAGAGGAGTGAGCCTGAAACAGTAACTCAGGGCAAGTGGAAGAGAAGCTGATTAAGAATTAGAGACTATTCAGTCTTCTCTAAACTGTATGCAACCCTAGGTAACCTCTGAGAAGAGCTAAAACTTAGCATCAGGGAGCCCCAGATCTCTCACTGGGCTACAGAAGAACCTCTCTGTCCCCAGAAATAGTTGGGGTGGGGGCTGCTGTCAGATTAGGGAAGTTACAACAGTGAAGTCAGAGAAACCCTTTGTTTGGGATTACTCTGTTTTGGGTAAATAAAATAATTCCTTCCCATTATGAAAGGAAATGTTGCAGGGAGTCCCCAAGAAATGAGCTGACCCAGCTTCAGTTCTGATTGACAATGAAGCTAGAATAACTCAGAGCTGAGAGCCTTAATCCTACCCACTGCCACACTGCACCACACATACCTGGGGCTAACCCTGAGGCAAAGTCTACCTAGTGGAGTCCAAAAGTCTCTGGAAATTTCCTTAGCATATATTAGGGTATTCGGGAAAGTATTGTAAGAAATTATAAGACAACATTTGAGTATAAATATGGAGGAAGTGAGGGAAGGAATCATGAAGATAGCTTGGAAAAAAATGTCTAGTCTGAAAGAGAGCAAGTGCACAGACCAGCCTGCAGCATGCTTTGAGTGTTAGAATAAATAGCAAAGAGGCCAGTATGGTTGAGTATGGTCATCAAGGGGAGTGCTAGGAATGAGATTAGAGATATATGGGAAGATTGATGAGCATGGGATTAAGTGGGGCAGGTTGTAGACTCTCATTGATGATAGTCAAAGACCTTGACATATACTAGGACTAACAAAACAGTAGAATGGTTTGGACAGACTTGGACTGATTTATGTTTTCAAAGGGTCACTGTGCTGCTCTACTGAGAATTGACTGTAGTAGTGTAACTATAAGATCAAGAAGTCCTGTAATGATTATTTTCACTAAAGTAATTACAGTGAAGGTACTGAGAAGATGTGGCATTGGAAATATTTTGGAGACAGAGATGATTGGATGTGCTGATGGATTGAATATGAGGTGAAAAAAAAAGAGTCAAGGATGATTCCAATGCCTTTAGCTTGATTGGTTATTTTAAGGTTAAATTAATTAATCCATGCAAAACAGTTGGAACAGTGCCTGAAAAGTGCTCTGTGAGGGCCAGCTATCATAGTATTATTGGACAAGATGTGGTAGAAGGCAGTGTTAGCTTCATATTTTTTGCTTTTAGTCATTTTCAAAATAATCTGACAAAAGCTAGTACCCTCTGAAGTTTCCTTAGTACCTTCATCTCAGGTTGATTTCAGTATTCCAGGCAGTGTCATGAGTACAAGAATCCTCTTTATCCATAAGGAATAGTAATCACTATTTCATAGGACTTTTTTAAGTTACAAAGGGGCACATTTGCATGATTTATAGATGAGTGTTAAAGAATTGGTCACCAGCTTATGCCATAATTGAGAAGTGGTGGAACTTCTAAAAGGTAAGGTCTTGTGGGAGACCTTCTGGTCATTGGGGGATATGCCCTCAAGGGAGGCAATGGGACCCAGATCTCTTCCTCTTTCTCTCTTTTGCATCCTGCCAATAAAGTGATTGGATTTGCCCCACTATATCTCCACGCCCTGTCATGATGCGCTCCTCCCTTGCCACAGATCCAAAAGCAATAGGGTCAACAAAACATGGACTGAAACCTCCAAAACTGTGAGCCAAAATAAATATTTCCTGTATATACATTTGTTATCTCAGGTATTTTGTTTCAGTAATGGAATGCTGACGAACACAACAGATGCTCAGTAAAGGCTATCCCTGACCACCTTCTAGACTCTTGATTTTGAAATTTTCTGTGTCCCAGGAGCATCTGCATCACTTGGGAACTCTGTTAGAAAGTCAAAATTTGGGCCCCCACAGCAGAGCTACTAAATCAGAATTTGTGTTTTAATAAAATTTCCTAAGTGATTCTGTGTATATATTAACATGTAAAAAGCACTGCTCTAGAATTTCAAGGTCATCTATTCTAAGAATCTCTTTAGGTTACAAAGGCTGAGAGAGAAAGACACTCACTTGATTTTTACACATGAAATTAATTTTGCCAAGACTCCTAAATCCAAAGCCAGGGTTCTTTGGGCTGTCTGTAAGCCAGATCTGGGTAGCACAAGATGGAGAAAAAGCAAAGGGCCCCCCTTTTGTGAAAGAGTCTACTCTCTGGGAGATAAAGCTGAGTTTTCTACCTGTAACTCTTCATTTGCCTCCTCTGGGAAGAATTAATAGTTACACAGCACAACTATTTTCATTTTAATCTCACAGATATAAGGACCCTAAATTGCTTATGTGTGTGTGTGTGTGTGTGTGTGTGTTATTTATATCTAATAAACATGTGTATGTTATATTCTATGTCCCACTCATTGTTCTAATTTTCTTATATTTATTAACCCTATTTTTATATAAACTCATGCACTCCCCAAAATAATCCCAAGGAAGAGATTATTATTGTATCCATTTTACAAATGAATATGTTAAGATACAACATGGTTAAGTAACTTGCTGGAGGTCACACAACAAGTAAGGAACAGACTTGAAATTACAACTCTGGCAATTCTCTTTCTATGCCTGAGCCCATAACAGCAGTCTAAGTGATGACCACATTCTGGTCTGATTTTTATTTTTTGATACTGGGGTTGAACCCATAGGTGATTAACCATTGAGCCTCATCCCTAGCCCTTTTTACTTTTTATTTTGAGATAGGGTCTCACTAAGTTGCTTAGAGCCTTTCTAAGTTCTCCTTTTTACTGCACCCCAGTGCCCTTCTACCCTATATCCCATAGTTAAGCCCTTTTTTGATTTTGTATCAAAGACTTAGTTTTCTTAAGCAATTTTTGTTTCACACAAAATTGACAGGAATCTACAGAAATTTTCTATTTACTCCCTATCCCCACACAAGCATAGCTTCATGCATTTTATACTGCTTATTGTTCTCTGTGTCTAGTCTGTCCTGTCTAACCCCTCTTCAAGTTCTTCAAGGTCAGGGACAACATCCCAGGATTTCCCCACTGCTGCCCGCGAAATCATAAACTTATAAACTCCCAAAGGGTGATTATTAGAATGACCCTTAGAGACTAGGTAGTCCACCCTCTTCCCTGTACGGAGACCTAGGGCTCCACAAAGGCGAAGGGTGTGCAGAAATTCAGAGCCAAGTCCAGAAGTCAGTTTTCCTTAATTTTCAGTGGTCTTTCCCCAGCTTCATGTTACCTCTCCTCCTCCAGTCAAAAGTTTTCTGAAGCGTTTTTTTTTTTTTTTTTTAAGGCAGGATCAGAGCTGGGAAGTAGCTATTCCGTGTGTCTAAAAATCCTTACTTTTGCAACACTAAGTTTGCCTGTCAATCTCCAGCCTTGCTAACTCATGCACAAAACTTTGAAGAGCAGAGCTCCATTTAGCTGCCTCCAACCACTTGACCCTCCCTCCGTTCCCACAGACTGGGCTGAACCAAACTCCCTGGCCCTCTGCCGTCTCGCCCCCGCTTCAGTCCCAGGAGCTTTGCAACTCCAGCCCAATCAGTGGCTGGGTCACTGTTTACCCCCCAGACTCACAGTGTCCTTTTCAGGGGCGGGGTTTCTTTGCATAGCCACGCCTAGACACATCAGGTAATCCAATAGCTGCCCCGGAAACCTCACAGGGGCGGGGGAAGTAGGCTTAGCATGAAAGGAATAGAGGGTGGATTTGATCCGCTGTTGCTACACGTGGATATGAAATGAGTGGAGCGGAGCTTTGATAGCAACGGATTTCATCTACTGTGAGTGCGATATGCTTGCTGGGGACTGAGGGGCAGGGGCTGAGCGGAATGTTTGCTCTGTGTTGAGGTGCATGTGTCTGGGAATTTCATTGTTGTGATGGTAAGACCCATCCTTCCGTTACTGGGCACGTGTGGGAGCACACCCTGGAGTGGCAGGCCGGCTGGAACCTGTGGCATTTAGATTTGGAAGTACAGGACCAGGTCAGGATTTCCCTCCTTGGGTGCTGCAAAGTCAGAATGGCTGGAAAGGCATCCCCTGGCTCTCTACCAGTTCATCCGTTTGTACAGGGAACACTATTTGAAGTGCCAGGAACCTAGGCTGATATTCTTACAACCCTAGCGAACCAATACCCCGCTGTAAGAGCCTTCTTACTGGACCTGGATGGCCACTGGGAACATGCCCGAACTTGTCAAACTACCTTGAGCATCTGGGCTTGGGAGATAAGGAAGAGGAGGAGGCTGGGAGTTAGCAGAAGGGAGGAGGGGGTGGATCAGATATGTGCAGCATCCCTGAGGGAAGCTAAACTGCTGGCCCACCCACGTGGTCCCTGGGCAAGTCAGGGCTTGTGTAAAGAGCATGCTGGCTCTGTATGGGGGCTTTCAGTCCACCCCCTCACCCGCGCGCCTGTGTTTCACTTGATCCCTCACTCCTGGAAGCTGAGCCCAGGGCAGTGATATTTTGATCCTGCCTCACCCCAAACACTGGCCAAAGCCCAGGCAGCTGTGAGAACTGGGGGGACAAGAAGAGACCCGCCAGAGAACAGGCTGGGAAAATAGACTGAAGGGTCTGATTTGGACAGGTGTTGGTAGCACTGGCCAATGTCATACAGGGTAGCGGGGGTGTGGACCATCTCCTCTAGATAACTCTCCTGACCTTTCCTTCACTTCAATATTCCTCCAATTTAACTTAACGACCTTATTAAGGACTTACTCTGGGCCATCAAGTTTGAGACAGTGAGAAGTGCAAAATCTAGGCTGTGGCCAATGGGGCTTGTCAGGCTCATCATGGGTACAAGAACCCAAGTAAATATAATAGAAGATAGATCTTTAAGGAGCAAAGTGCTCTGAGGTTCTCAAGTAAGGATCCTATCAACTTGAGTTAGAAAAAATCTGAGAACCTTTTGGATTGTTTTTTGAAATAATAACACCTGTCAGCACTCCAGAGGCAAACTCTTTGGATTCAGATTCCATCCCCACCATTTATTAACTGGTGTGCCCTTGAACAAACAGAATTACTTCCCCCTCTCTGAGCTTTAGTAAACTCCAGGCTAAAGTGGAGATAATAATAGCACCTACCTCATTGGGTTGTTGTGAGGATTAAATGAGATAATCCATGTAAAATACTTGCACATGCTTAGCACAGTGGCTGGCCCAAAATAAGCACTCAATAAATGTTAACTATTATTATTTAAGCTAGACCGTGGAGTACAGATAGGATTTCAACAGGTGGAGAATAGGAGAGAAGGCAGTTTAAGCAAAGAAAACAACAGGAACAACTGCTTGAAGACAGGGAAGCTTGGAGCACGTGAAAAGAACACCAGCTGAGATGGATTTTAACTTACAATTAGGAGAAAAGTGGAAGTTAAATTTGCCATGTTAGATTGGTGGTAAACCACAAAAGACTTTGGATATTTCAGTTTCAATTTGATTTGGCAGACAGTGGATAGCTATTAAGAGTTTCTGAGCTAAATAAACCCAGATATGTACTATAGGAAGAATAATCTTATGAACATAAGTCAGCCATATTGGAATAGAAGAAATCAAGAGGTGGATAAACTATATACAGAGAGGGGACAAGGCCTTGGAGCTGAGGTGGTGGCTGTGGGACTGGAAAGGAGGCAGTTCATTTAACAAGGTATCACATCAGTTGAGTCTTCAGAAATTTGAAGTTGATAAATTATATGGGCTTAAAAAAGAAGAGTGTGAGATTCACAATCTCTTGGATTCTGCTCTCTTCCCTGCTCTTTGAAAGAGCCCATTCCATTCAAGGAAAGCCTTGACTGTTAAAGGTTTTCCCTTTTGGTAATCTGGACTTGGTTTACCTATGACTTGACCCTAGATGTCCTAATTATTCTCTCTGGGACCACCCAGAGCAGTCTGCTCTTTATCTTCCTTGAGAGGTCTTCAAAGATCTGAGACCAGAGGCCAGATTACGTACATTTTCTGTCCCTAGGTCAAAACACTCAAATTGCTTCCATTTCTCACATGACATGGAGTCGAATCAGATATGTGTCTGAGGTTTTGAACTATTTAAATTGGGGTGGTAACACCTTCATAATGATGTGGAACACTGCGAAAGTAACATGATGGGTGAATGTGAGAAAAAAATGTGTATGTATTTTTTGAACCATAATCCCAATGACACCTCAACCCAACTAGGGAAGGCAGAGAAATGAAACTTGCCAGATAGTTAGTATGTGTCTGAGCCAAGATTGGAATCACTTTTTTTTTAACTTCAAGTTTGTTTGTTTGTTTTTTGATTTTCAGTAGCTATTTGGGTTTATGGCGACAGCTAAGCAATTAGATCAGCTCTGGCACTAGAGAAGGAGGCAAGAGGAAGTAAGATCCTCCAGTCACCTTATGCCAGACATTCCTTTGAAAGTTCTCTTGAAACCATTCAGGGAACAAAGTTCCTAGACCCAGGGGAAAGGCCTGTGACTGGCCACATGACTCTCCTTCGATGTCTTATTGACCTGCTCCACTTGAATGCCTTCTGAAGATGGTGAGACATCTTTTGGAGCTATTTCTCAGAGCTAACGCTTAATTTTGAAGCAGAAGATATTTTTCTTTGCTCTCTTTATGAAAATCCATGTATTTTCCTTTTGGGAGCTTAACAGGAAGGATATAGGTTATTCTTGCCATCAGTCTATAAAAGGACCGTAACTATTCTGTGCTCCTGGGAGATATGAAGATGGCCATAATCTGTCTTGGATTAGAGTTAACAGTATATATTCTCAATTTCCCCACCAGACATGATTTCCTACAGGTGGAAACCTCTGGTTTTCCCTCCTGTTACTAAGTTCTAATAGAATTCCTAGCATAGAAGGCACTTATCAAGTGAGTTTTGAGTGACTCAAAATCCATCCTGGAGTGTTAACAGGTATTATGTCCCCCAAGTATCCCCAAAAGTCATCATACCATTCTCACAAATAAAAGAATTGCCATGTAATATATGGTGGAATTAAGCAGTAACATGTCATTGCTTCCAGGAGGTTGTTAGTCACCATGGTGGATGAGCCAAAAGAGTGGGCAGCACTGCTTCCCTTCCATGAGCCACCTTTCCCTGACCCAGTCCACCCTTTGGATTTGTTCTGTTTAGGGTAAAATGAGCCAATGTTAGGTTGTGGGTGTGAAGACAAGAAGCTGAAGCCTTGGTAACATGGTCACTGAGTAATCAATCCAGAAGCTAGGCCCATTTCTCTCTTTATTTATGGGAAATAAACAAGCCACTGGGCCTGAACATGGAGACTTGAATTTTAGTCCCAACTCTGCCACTAACCAACTATGTGACTTTGGGAAAATTCTATTCCTTCTCTAAGCCTCAGTTTCTTCATCTGGACCATAAGGGAATTGAATTAGTTTACACTGAAGAATCCTTTCAGAATTCTGTGACTCTATATTTCTAATTGTTTAACAGTTTGAAAAGTTTAAACAGTTTTCAAAGAGAAGGAAAAAATATATTAGAATGTGCTGTTTTGTGAGTACTGAGCTGCCTGTTACTAAAGGAGTTCAAGCAGAAATAGATGGAATTCCTTTACTGGGTGACAAGCAGCTGGGACTAAGATGAGTTTTAAACTCACTTTGACTCTAGATTGTCAGAGGCTGGAAATTATTTCAGAGAATGTGTATTTACATATGAAACAACAAGTTTCTTCTTTTCAGTTTCACCTTACCCTCTCAAACTCACTGTGTTGTATTTCTTTCTTCCTTTTCTTAGACTTCTTTTTAAAGGGCAATAAATATTTTGGCAGAAGTATCACATCCTGTACAAATAGGTCTCATTCTATGGGTTTATTCACCATGTCTTACAATAAGGATGTTTGTTGCCCTGGGTTTTATGCAAATACCCTCCTTCTTTAGGATGTTTCATTCCCTGGCCTATGAGGAAGGTATGGAATAAATGAATTTGGATTGTTAGGGGGGAAAAGGGATTGTTTTATTGCTATATTCAGAGAGATACAATTATTCTAGATTGTTTGGTAAATTAGACAGGGTGGAGACAATGTGGGGCAAGACCAAAAAATTAATAGAAATCAGAAATTAGAACACTCGACTGAATTTTGTCCAGTTCCCAGCTTTGCAAAGAAATGAATTCAAGTCCCAGCTGGGACAACTCAGCCAACAGCCTCCTTGGGAAGTTAATGAATCTCCACTCCCAGTACTGCTGGTGGAGTAACTAATTTTTGATGATACAATAATTTCATGGTGTCTTATGGTGGTCAGTACACAAATAAGTGACTCACTTTGGCTAGGGTGACAGTAGAGCAAAGTGGAGGCTTTGAGTTTTGGCCAAATGTTGGTCTGGCCTGAAGCTTGTCTCCAGTGCCCTTTGCTCCCAAGTTCTGGGTGGGATAATAACAACAATCATAGCAACTCCTCACATGTGTAACACAATCAGGAGTTTCCAGAGTACTCTCACATACATTATCTCATTTTTTCCCTGGAACATCATCCAGGGTATTTTTGGTATCTTTGCTCCCACTAGGGAAGATTGTCTCAGCAATCATTAAAAGGATATTTCTCCTTATAATCAGCTCAAAGTTTATTGGTCTTAATTTCATCCCATTTGTTTTGTTAATTATGTCTCTATTTTCAGTTGCACAATTCTTTTTCCTCCTTTTAAAAAGTCTTTTTCACTCATTGCCAGACTCTAACCAAATATTTATATATATTTAGCTTTTACTTTTACTTAATTTACAGTGCTAAGCTCCATTTGTCTTTTGAGGTTTGTGCTTTCTTTGCAGTGTGTGTGTGTGTGTGTGTGTGTGTGTGTGTATTTT